GTCGTCTCCTGGTGTCCTGGCCCTGCTGTGCCTCACAGTTTCTACGAACACAGTACATTTTATGCCAGCCTGACCCTGGCAGCTGGCGAGGCCCTGCTCAGTTCGGCAGGGCAGCTGCAGGGCAGGTCAGTGAACGGATGAGTGAAACGACTCCATGATGGAAAACCCCAAAGACATAGAGCACGTGATGCCAACCAGAAGCACGAATATCACAGCAGTTGAAAGGCACAGATGCGGGCCCAACACCCCCAGGCCCAAAGCCTGGATCCACACCACGCCGGGGTCCCAGCTCCACACGTGCTCCCCACCCTATACTGCGCTGGGGGGATTATGTGGACTGTGCACGCTAAGGGCCTGGTCTTTGGGGACGGGTAAACTGTCGTTTGTCAGTAACACCGCTGTTCTGACTTGGCCTCTGTCAAACACCTTCTCTGTGCCCGGCCCGGGGCTGGGTCCTGCCTTCAAGGAAGGCCCAGCCCACCGGGCAGCACAAGGTAAGCACAGCCCCATTCCCAGCGACAGGTGCCGCAAAGGACAGGCAAGCCCAGAGCCCAGGGGCAGGCAGGCGGGGCCCTCGGAAGGAGTGTCAGGGTCTGTGGCCATGTTGGGCAGGAGTGAACTGGGCACTGTCCTCCCAACAGCCACGCTCCCTCCATCTCACATGCCCTTCCTTGCACCCTCCCCCAAACTCCTGATGACCCCACACCACCACCCTGTCCTCCTCTGCAGCCTCTGTGCAGACTGTGAATCTCAAAGCGCAGGCCTACCCACGCCGTAATCCTCTGGTCACACATCTGCCTTCCCCCAGAGGCTCAGAGCTCCCTGAGGGTGGGTGGGTCAGGAGAGCCTGCCACTCGGGAATTGTGCAATTGTAAGTTCTGGCTCCGTGGGCTTGGCTGCTCAGCACGTGCTGAGAAGCGGCTCACTCTGTAGCCGTAGCCAGTGAGCTAGCGGGCCCCCTGCGGGGTCAGGAGCTGTTCTAGGTGCTGAAGATGCTGTTGGACAAGGAGGGGCCCCGCTCGCTCGCAGACCAGAGTGACTGGGGACGGTGTGACTGGGCGGGAGGGGGGACAGAACCTGCGACGCCCGTTCGGAGCCCGCCAGGTCCACCATGAAGAGCTTCCCGACGCGCACTCCCTCCGCCAAGTCCGAGCCGCGGCTCCGCTGGCGCACGGTGACCTGCAGCACCGCGTGGGAGCGAGACGACGTCTTGTTGGCGGCCGTGGGCTCCTGCGTGCGCTGCCGGTTGCCTTTGGTGAGAAGGTGCATGATCTGAGGACAAACGGAGAGTTGGGGGCGTCGGGGGGGCCTCCGAGAGACCACGCGCTCCCTGCAGAACCACGAAGCAGGAAGGAGGCCTGTCCCCCGAGCCCTATTGGGCAGCTCTTTGCCGACAGAACCTCGTCCAGAGGAGGCAATTTCTGGTTTGCGGCAGGAACGGCAGGGTGCAGACACTTGTACCGCTCTCCCCTCCTCTACCCGTGGCAGACATCACCAATGGATCGCCTGCCAGTGTCCCAGAACCTCTCACCGCAGAACCCCGCAGTTGTGTGGTCTCCCTGAAGCTGGCAGGTTGGGCTGAAACCCACTGTGTGCAAGCCGCCGTGGGGATCAGGCCAGCGAGCCTCGCGGGGCACCTGCTACGTGCCGGGCGGTGCTGAGGCCACAGAGCATGCGGTGGGGGAGGACACTGACACAGTGTCACCATGGGAGAACAGGCAGGAAGTCTCCTCTCCCCGACCTGAACCCACGAGGGGCACCGCTAAGGGCACACGGCTGGGCCTCGGGGAGTCCGTGAAGGACCTGGGGGCAACAGGGAGGCATGAGGCTCTCCGGCAAGCAGGAGGCCCATCCTGAGGGCACTGCGGAGTGTGGGCCAGCAGGGGGAGTGGGGGGCGGGCAGATAAGACAGAAGGCCGCAGACAAGTGGACAACACGCCCACTCAGGATGGCAAGTGGGTTTCAAGCATGCAGTTGACCCTGACAGGCTGGGCTGCCGTGTAGGGAAGGGCTCCCAGCCTGCGTCTGCCCTGAGCGTGGGCCGGGGGAGGGGTGTGGGCGCAAGGACAACGTCCCCTCAGCCGAGAAATGACACGGAGCTGTGCGTCCAGCTCCGCCCCCTGAGCTGTGGTGAGCGCGGCCGCCCAGGCTGAGGCACGCCTCCCTCCGGGGGCCCCTGGGACCCTCACCTCCTGCGCGTTAGAGGTAGAGACTTCCGTGAGGCCTGCGATCTGGATGCTGCCCCGAGAATCTTCCCTCAGGTCCAGAAACCCCGAGGACGGGTTCAGGAGGTCCCGAATCACTTCGTTGTAAATCTGGGAGGGGAGACAAAAGTTGGAAACTGAGAAGCTTTGGTGCAAAGAAAGCAGGAGGTTTAAGGTATCATGGGGCTCGTGGCTGCAGGGAGATCTCAGACGCCCCAAGGGCTGACAGTCCCCGTGAGGGGTATCTGGGGGGGGGGACACAGAGGCTTGCTGTGCACGGGGCACCGAGGTGGTGGGCAGCTCACCTCCAGGTAAGACATCGACACACCCCAGTCCGTGCTGCCGCGCATCTCGATGGCCCGGAACAGGTCACTGAGGGTCCGCAGGTAGACGCCGGGCTCCGCGTCCATGCCCAGCATGGTGTACGTCTTCCCTGCGCCTGCAGACGGCGGGGCGCCCGCCCAGGCGGGGAGTCCTGAGTGGGCTCCAACCCACCCGGGCGCGCGCTCCCAGGAGACCGTTCACATGTCCGCCCACACTGGACAGACTGTCCTGACCACGCTGACACATTCATCTTCCACCTCGGGAACCAGGGGAAAGACCCGGAGTCTGATGGCTCACGTGCGGGAGAAAGCACGGACGCAGGGATAGCGGGATCGAAGCAAGGACACAGACGGTGTGGGGGGTGGGCCCCAGAGGTGTCCTCTTCCCCCAGGCCCGAGCCGGTGCTGTTTCTACAGTGACGGGACCCGCGTGCAACTTGCTACAGAGTGCCTCTCTACAGGGGCGCCGCTCGCCTGCCCCCAACCGGCTCCCCAAACGCCAGAGCCTGGCACGGGGTGTGTGCTCCCTAAGGCCTGCTGAATGAAGAGGCAAAGCGAACAGGCCGCAACTCTGGGCAAGGCGCATCTCAGGCCTCAGTCTCCCCACCTGCCCCGGCCCTCTGTGATTCTAGCTTCAGGATTCAGCAGGTAGCTCAGCTCTGCGGACCTCTGTCGAGCCCACCCAGTGGGTGCGGAGAAGACGTCTGTGGGTTCTGACAGGCAGCAAGGTGCGGGCTTTGGCTCAACCCCAGACTCACTCCTCCCAGCTGTGTGACCTTGGGGAGGTCATTTTAGCCGAGGCCCAGCTGTGTTGTGAGCAGAAAGGGGATGGCCTGACCTGCCTCTCGGGGCTGCTCCCAGGACAGAAGAGCCGGTGAGACCAGCGCGTGGCAGGTGTCTTGTACTATCAGGGAGAGTCCACTCCCCCCACCCCATGCCCTCCTCGGGGCGCTGCCCGGGGCCCTACCTGAGGGGCCATAGGCAAACACCGTTGCATTGTATCCAGAAACGACGCCTTCCACTAGGTGCTGGGTGGTGGCACGGTACACGTCTTCCTGTGAACGGACAGACGGACGGACGGTGGAACGCATGGCCCAGCGAGGCAGGGCACGTGGCTGCTGGAGAGGACACACGTGTGATGTCTGCAACGTCCCGTTCCCTCTGCCCATGGCCAGGGACCCCCGGGAGGATGGCAGCGGCCCCTGTCCTGCTGTGCCGCCCCCTGGGTGAGGTGGGGCCGGGCTCCCAGCTTCCAGGGAGGATTACGCGGGAGTGCACGTGAGAGCTCCTGCCAGGAGCGTGACATCCGCTCGGTCCTAGACACCCACGAGTCCTCTCCAGGACTTCTCAAGATCCGAGAGAAACCACACAGAATGCAGCGACTGGAAGGTGACAGCAGGATTTGTGTGTCTGTGAAGAGCGTCGGGACTCCTCTCTCTGGGGCAAAACCAGGACCGAGGGGCGAAAGTTTCAGGACGGTAGCATTTCACGTAAGGCAACAGTGCCTAGCAATAGGTGTGGTAGTGAGCTCCCTGTCCACAGGGGTATTCAAGAAAGGATACCTCCAGGGGTGTACGTTTGGCTGCATTAGGCAGAAATGACAGTCCCACCTCCTCTGCCCTGCAGGGCACCCACTCTGGACCCTGCTGTTCATGTCACTGAATTGTCCCCATAGCCCTGGCTGGTCACACAGCTCAGAGGCTAGAGGCACCACCCAGTACTGCTTTCCTCAGCTCTGGACTTACACCGTCAGGGACTGTGACCTGGCCCTGTGTGATCTCAGGCAGCCTTGTTTCCCCATCTGTAAAATGGGGATCAGGTTTCCATGTTTTAGAGGATTGTTGAGAAGTTCGCGAGACGACGCACGTCAAGCCCTCGAGGACAGCGCTCGACAGGCAGCAGCCACTCAGCAGGACCCTCCTTTCGCCGACCCAGTTACCATCTCGGGAGTGAAGGAAGCGTGCCTGCTCAGACAGCGGCCGAGTCCCGAGGGAGGGGACATTCCCAGTGCCAACGGGCGGTGGTGGGCCTCGACGGGCCCTATGGCACACGCCCGTCCTGCCTGAGATGCTGTCCCCAGCCTCCCCACTGCTCCTCCCGCTGACGTGCCGAGTCTGGCTCCCTCCCTGGAGCTGCAGTGGCCTGATCCGTGCCGAGCCCAGCTGATGCCCGTCCACCCAGAGCCAGGAAGGACGGGAGTGAGTGGTCGTGTCTGCCCTGGCTTCGGGGATGCTGGTGTGCCCCAATCAAGAGCCGGGAGACACGGAGGAGCCCGTGGTTCCCGGGCAGTTGGAGGTGAGGTGCGCAGTGCAAGGAGGGGCCCCAGGGCTCCGCTTCAGCTGGGAGGGGACGAGCAGCTGGGTGCAGGGCTGGCAGCACGGAGCCCGTGTCCCTCGCTGGCTTTGTCTTGGGGCCAAACAGCCCCAGACATCATCACCCTGGGGGGGTGACATTCCTACCTCCGGGCGCCTGGGTTCAAATCCTGCTCTGCCGGGCTCCCCTCTCTAGCGTGGGGCGACAAGACCCCTCTCACGGGCGAGGGTAGGGTGACGTGCTGGACAGCCTCCCGTCCTTGGCTATGGGTGCTGGTGAGTCTGGCCTGACGCTGGGCCCGAACCCCCTGCCCTGGCCTCACTGGGATCTCGTGGAGGCTCAGCATCTCCTCTGTGTGTGTGTGGGAGGGGCGCCCAAGCCCCGGCCTGAGCCCCTTGCCCCTCTATCAGGTTCTAGCTCTCTGCAGCATGCCCTCACGGAGGACCAGTTCTCCCTGCTTACTCAGCCCACCTTCCCCCTGGGATTGGGGCCCCGGGGCAGGGAGTGTGCCCTAGCCTCACGGGCGGCGGAGGGGACACCCTTTCCTTGCTTGGATGGACGAATGAGAAGATGTGTGAACCCCGGGCACCAGTGGGAGGGGGCCTCCTGCTACCTGCCCCTGGGGTGGCCCCTGTGCCACCCTCCTACTCGTCAGGGAGACTCCTGTGAGAAGTCACGGATGGGACCACCTGCCCGCCAAGTCCTCCAGGGGGTCTCCAGGATCTGGAGAGGGCCCCCACGGCCAGCCTGGCCCGAGGAGAGGACGCGGGTGGCCGTGGGCTGGGGGGTACCTGTGAGGCATGCTCGTCGAAAACGGTGTCGAAAATGAAAGTCTTCTCCCGTGACCGGTGTGCCCGCAGTGTGTCCTCAGGGTCCTCGTCGGGGTCCATGAGCACCGCCATCTAGGAGCAGCGAGGGGGCTGCTCAGAGTCCAGGCAGGCTCCACGCGCCCTCAAGGACCCCAGGCCCGCCCACCCTCGATGACATGAGGGGGCTCCATACCGGGCCCAGAAGGGCTGCTCAGCCAGGAGGGGGTTCTGGGGGCTCCACCCCCAGGCGTCCTCCCCACTTCCTAGGCAAAGGGGTAGCCTCTCCAGGCTACTGCACCCCCAAAGTCACAACTGGAAGCCCTCAGGCCTGCTGGGCTCTGCCCCCCGGCACCCCCAACACCAGCACCCAATCAACAACGAGTCCCCCACACAACGGCGGGTACCAGGGCTCAGTGAAGAACCCCCTGGGCTCTGCAGGGACACCCTTTGATGAACTGAGGGAAGAAAGCCCTTTGATGAACTGAGGGATGGACCGCAGGGGCTGCCGTGCGCCCCCAGGCCACCCTGAGTGCACGAGTGTGTCCACTCCCCACCCCCAGCTCTGCAGCCTGCTCCTGCCTCTCCTTGTGGGGTTAACTGTTCCCCCCCCCCCCCCCCCAGTCTCCCGGAGGTGGGGGGACAGCAAGGAGTCTGAGGGCCTCTGGGGACGGGGAGGTTCAAAGGAGCCTCTCCAGGGCCATTAGAGGCCATCAGCTCTGTTTACTCTGAGTGGAGCTCTGGGACTGGGGGAGGGAGGGGTGCCAGGAGAGAGCCACAGAGTCCTGGGGGCAAGGCTGGGCAGACAGAGAGCCTGGCCGCCAGGCCTCCTGGCTACCAGGTCGAGCCCCGTCTTGGTCCACAGCTTTGGGAACAGGTCTTGGGAGTCCGAGGGCTGCTCAGAGGTTCCTGGGGAGTCCGGCGGGGCAGGAGCGGCCCCTGAGGCCCGCTCTGGCTTCAGGCCAGCACGCTTTCCATGATGTAAGCTAACCGGGAGAGCCTCTCCAGAAAAGGACTCGGGCGGCCCCGGTCCACACAGTTCCCACCACAGGTGCTCGCTGTGAGCCAGGTCAGAATGTTGGAGGAACTGGGCAGGTCCCTGCAGGGGCCCACAGCCCAGCGCTGGGTAGGCCTGGCAGTTAAACAGGCTCACACCAGCAAGGGGCAATGCTCCCCCACCAACCTGGGCAGGAGGGCAGCTGAGTGGGCGCAGGGTCTCCTGCTGGGGAGATGGCAATGTTTGGACACTGCCAGTGCCCTAAAGGCCGCTGACTTGCTCACATTAAAACGGTGAATTTTGGGGGCGCCTGGGTGGCTCAGTCAGTTGAGCGTTCGACCCAGTTTTGTCTCAGGTCACGATCTCACGGTTTTTGAGTTTGAGCCACGTGTCGGGCTCTGCACTGACTGCAGAGCCTGCTTGGGATTCTCCTCCTCTCTCTCTGCCCCTCCCCTGTTCTACCTCTCTCTCTCAAAATAAATAAACAACCTAAAAAAATAATTAATTAAATAGCGAATTTTATGTTTTATGAACTCCGCTTTCATTTTTTTTTTTTAATTTTTTTTTCAACATTTATTTATTTTTGGGACAGAGAGAGACAGAGCATGAACGGGGGAGGGGCAGAGAGAGAGGGAGACACAGAATCGGAAACAGGCTCCAGGCTCTGAGCCATCAGCCCAGAGCCCGACGTGGGGCTCGAACTCACGGACCGCGAGATCGTGACCTGGCTGAAGTCGGACGCTTAACCGACTGCGCCACCCAGGCGCCCCATCCACTTTCATTTTTTAAAAAGCAAGTTATGTCTTGTACAGAGTAGAGTGAGGCGGCCTTGGGAGAGGCCCCAAGTGGGCTCTGGCACACCCTGGAGTGGAAGGATAGACCAGACAGGATGTGGGGGGAAGGCAGGGCGGGGGCCCGGGGGGGGGTGGATGTCAAAGCACCCTGTCACCCGCGGGCACACAGCCCCACTTCTGCTGCACAGACCGACGTGCTCACAATGTTCAGAAGGGCCTAGGCCCTGCGAAAAGTGATGTTCGAACTCATTGAAGCCACTTCCCTTCTCCTGACACACTCTCCCCACACCAAACCCTTCCCCATGATCCAGAAGTCCCCCTAAAGTCACCCAGTCCCCAAAGCCCAGGAAGTGGGAGAAGTTCTCCCCACGAGGATTACGGCATCCTGAACTAGGAATCGATGGGCGACCCCCGCCCACAGAGCTGCCCTGGGCCAGGGTGGGCAGGGGCCACTGTGCAGGTGTGGGTCGGTCACCTCCCAGCTGTGTGGCCAGCAAACAAGAGGCTGCATTCTGACCTCCGTTATCAGGTAGGGCGGGAGTCACCCTAGACAGCGGAGGCACTCCCTGGGAGGAGGTCCGTCAGTCCCCAGATGGGCTGCCACCAAGGTTTGGGCACTAGCGACACTCTCCTGAGAGCTGTTACAGATTCCAGAATACTCCCTCCCTCCCCTGTCCCGTGTTAATCAGTACCGTGCACGGGGCAGTCTCCAATCCACCCCCCCCCCCCCC